AGTGAAATACATACAATGCTACAGAAATCTAAGGAACTTCTACTTTGCCTGGGACTTTTGAGTTCCTCAGACATATTTTAAATAGGTCTTCTGATTATTTCCAAACCTACTCGTTTGGCAAATACCATTTTCCTCTATCAATCACACACAAACTGTGAAATGCAGGTGATGCTGAGATTTAGGCAGGGTCCGGCCCAGATAAGAACCCCTCCTGCGAGGTAAGGCTCCTCGACCTGAAAGAAGCAAAGCAGTCTAGAGTACTTGTATAGGCAGAAAAAAGGGCCTGAAACCATAAAAACTGTGTTTCACTACTCCAAAAGGTATATGAACTCAAATGTTGCTGACGCCTCGTCTAGATTCACTATTACCGCGAGTTCAGCTCGACTGATACACCCCTTTAAATCACAGCTTCCTGCTCGTTCCATCAGATCCCACCGGTCGCCACCATCTTGTCATACTTTGGATCCCAATTCGCCTTCTTCGGCTGCGGCTCCGGCTCCAGAACCTTCGGACCACTGGGTCAGACGATGCGAGACTATGGTCTGTTGAACACAACTGGTTAGCTGCTGCCGGGAGTACTCTATCCACCGGTCGAGATTGGCATGTTCTAGTTGTTATGGCGTAGACAATTGTTGTGTATACTTGCATGTGCATGCATGCATGCACCCAAAGAGGGATGTGTACTTGGCTTCTTTGACTGTGTTTCGCATGCCTGTCACACAATGTTGGACACTTCATTTGGTATTCGTTTTTAACTACTCCAATTCACTGCGACTTGGAGAGCAGTTTATTTGACGTGTACATATCTGAGTAGTTGTGTGTGTTTGCACGTTGCCCTTCACCTCTCCAGCCCTTCTTCCGACCATGGCCGGGGCTCGACCCCGCCCGTCTGGCCGCGGCCTCCTGCCCCCTTTCGGCTCCGCGACTGCGCTTCTGCTCCTTCTGCTCCCGCCCACTCTGTGTACGTACAGCCTGATTAGCTGAGTCCTCCTGCTCTCCCAGGCCTCATCCGACCCCGACTGAGGCCGACGAACTTGCAGCCGCGATTGCTTTCCTGCCTGCCCTCAGGTTGACTGAACTCCGACTAGAACGGGCCAGAACGGCTTCAAGACCGACTCTCCGGCATTGCCAAGGGAGCACTGTCCAAAAAGCTGTTTGATGAGGTTCCTCTTTCTTCGCCTGCTCCCTCGTCCTGCCTACCCTGTTCGCCGGTTTTCTGGTATCAACCAGAAACCCTCCGTCTGGCATCCAGCCGCCTGCTCATCTCGCCTTGCCCACCGGCCAACCGGCTTAGCAGATATCTCGGTCAGATCGTGCCCCTCACACCGATACACCGAACACACTCCACGCCAACACACCAACACTGGCCAGGGCAAAACACATACACTGTGTGCTCACTCGTCCACACCAATGTCTTAGTTTAGTATGCACGGGCGAATACGCGAGGCAAGCTTGAGTCCGCGCGCGCGAATACAATCTTGGCTGTCCAAACAAGCCCCACAGCAGGGCACACTTCATACGTGTATGTAAATGCATTATTAATTACCAAACTTCTGTATGCTATGCATGAGTATAGAAGCGAAAGCCTGAACGGGGCCTCCTTCTCTCCCCGTCCTGCCCACACTCATAAACATGGACACACACACACACACAAACACACAAACACACACATACATACACATTGTGAAGGTGGACACAGAATGGCTGATATGACCTTGAGAACGGGTCTATTCGTTTGCTCGCGGCCAGTTTGGTCTGTCCTGCATATGCGTATAGCCAACACGTCAGTCTACCTATGTGTGTGTATGTGTGTGTGTGTGTGTAAGTATGCATACGTGTGTTTTCGCCCAGTACATTACCTTGCCCATATCCTGCAGCACCACTTCGATAAAGTCGGGTTTTGATAGCAACGGCGGCTGGACAAGGTGAGAATACAGTCAGACCGGTCGAAAGAATGGAGCCCTGAGACGGGACTGATCGAGAATAGTGGAATTGGGAAGCGGCGGTGAACAGGAGAGGAGTGAGGTGAGAAGTCGGTAGATTTGTAGGCAAGCCAAAGGGGAACTTTCGGCCCAGATTCAGGCAGCACACCTTCCACGCATTTGCATCTGGTCCCCGCATGGCGCTTATTGTTCACCTGTGTTGACTCCAAGTCTGAGCGGTACAAACAACCAAATTAGGAGTTGAGTCGTTCCCACGTCGACGGAAGTTCGACGCCTCATAACTGGACTATTCGGGGTGAAGAATACTGTCTTTTTTTTCTTCTGTGTGTCTTGCAATCAGGCTGAAATGACTTTCATATCTTGGCAAACCCAACGTCAGAAGCCAGATTTGAGGGCTGTTTTCGAGTCGCGACAGTCGAATGTATGTAGGGGATCTTAAGGATGTTGAACGCTCGGATGCCTGAGCAGCGTATGAATGCATGAAATTGGTTTGGTGTTTGTTCATGTGTCAGTAGATTTAGAGGATATTAGGCCTTCTGGAATAAAGACTTGGGCTGGTCAAGGTCCTTTTGAAGTGAGTGAAAGACCTAGTTTGCACAACTTTGTCGCGTTGTCAGGATGGCTTCAATTAAGGCATCTATCTCGATGTCTTCTGTTCGAGTAGTCATGATAATTCCCAACTTCGGACCGTTAGAAGTTGATTGACCTTGTTTTCGCAACTTGGTCATATTGGCAGGAAGACTTAGAGGAACGCACCTTGTCCGGAGTTCATTGTAGGCATAATTATTTCCAAAGTTGGACTGTGGACGTGGTCAAAGGATCAGCTTCACTTGTCTCTTTGACGGGTTGTTGTGTGGTGCTAAGACTGGCGAGAATCACTGACGATGCCGGCGAAACGTCTGGGAATGTACCACGTCCACGGTCCGACTTTGGAAATGATCATGCAGACAATGGATTCCGAAATATGTGCGTTCCTCTAAGTCTTCCTACCAATATGACCAAGTTGCGAAAACAGGACTGCGACCACACAAAAGGCCACACCATCTTGATATTCATACCGTCGGACCGTCAGTTTGGCACATTTAGAGATGCTTCTTCGGCATCATTGTCAGCTAAAACTCGTCTCCTATTTGCTCGTAACCTCTTGCTGCGACAAGATTCTCTGGATTATTTCCATCTTAATTTCCCGTTTATTCACTCCCGTGAATAATTCCTCAGTCCTCGTTGATTTTATAAGGTGGATTCTGAAGCAAATTATGAAACTTTTCTCTCCATAATAAATGAAACAGTTAAGAAGATATTCTC